CAAAAATCGGCACTATCCAATTGTCACCCACCACTAAATTTCTCATGTGCTGTCTTTAACTCTTTAAGTTGGGAATCGCCGCGTTTATACATTTTCTATTTCCTTTTATATTCTGTTTATCTTAGATATAAGACGGCTGCTATCTAGCCCAACCCTTCCTAACCCAATATAGCGACAACAGGCTTCCGTCAAAATTTTCACTATCTATTCGATCACCTAGCAGTATCTTTGATTATTAATACTAGTTGGATCTCGTCAAGCCGGCTGAACGATGAAAATACAGTGATGTTGATGTTGGGAGTTTAATATATATATTTGGGATAATAAAAAATTATTTATATTAATCGCGGGGGAAGAAAGCCGACATGACGTTATGGATTTACGTTTACGGAAGCTGGCACGATAGCTAACTTTAAAATCGTTCATTCGATCAACTGGGTGGGAAATATCTGCTCCGAAAAAGGCTAAAGACAAGTTGAATCACTTCAAGCGACCTAAATTTTCAGTGATTCTATTAATAGGATTTTAATATGATAGATAATATTTTATAATTATGCCGGGGAAACTAAAGTGAATAAGACGTTCTAATCATGTGTCGAACCAAGACTTCTCGTTCAATTGTCAGTCCAGTTCGGATATTTCCGTGGTTATTTACATATTTACTTATTTGAATTAAAATATCTTTCTAGACTTCGATTTTGCTTCTAATTTATGATATAAGAAAATTATTAAAAGTTAATAAACATAAGCGAATAATAGGCAATTTTTATGAAATTCAAAGTTGTCTAAAATTTCTTAGATCGCAGTTATATGGAATATAAAAGTATTTTAGCGATCCCGTTTTGCAAATACGTGTTCCCAGCGACAGAATGACTGTGTGAAAAGCTTTGTTCGTAACAAAAGTGCGAAACATTACCGCAGAATTTTGTTTGTAATCTCAGATCTCGCCTGGCTGCCTGGGATCGTATATATATAAAGAATTCGATGAATCTCCTTTTCCAAGTAACTAGTAGCGGTAGTGTGGCCTGTGAAAGCGGTGTTCTGATTTAAAATTACGAATTAAATGCTGACTGCTTAACGGTATCTATCCAGATTCTTGGTCTTGGCCAGTATAAACACCATATAAAATATCATCGATGAATACCATCTCAATTTCTCGTGCAAGATTTTGGTAAACTTTATATAACGAAATATAGATAAAGAATTATATATAGAAACGAAAACTTCATAAAAAGTCGGCGCGTAATCTATTTTGACCGATAAAAATTTAAATTTTGGTTAAAACGGCAATAAACGCAAATGAAAAGCGTTATTCTGAGCGAATCCCATTGCCTCGTTAAAGATTTCTACGTAAGCTAAGCACGCGTCCTTACAACATAACACACTCTATCGGGTGTATCCCACTCATCCTCGTAACACAATGGCTGGTAAACCGATACACAGACTTATTTCCTTCCGCATTTCCGCAAGTCAATGCAGGCGAGAATTTATGGTCCTCTACCGCCACTTGGAGACTGAACATTATTAAATAAATTACTGAAATGTGATGCTGGCTTAGTTAGGTCTAACGCTTTAACCGCTAGGCCAGAGTAGAATTTTTGAACCTGTAGCGGCAAAAAAATCGAGGTCAGAATTTCGACAAAAATTTTACCCCCACCCCCTCCCTTCTCGAAATTTAAAAAATAGCATACATATTCCTTTTTCGTAACTTTAAACGCCCTTTGGGCCGTCAAGACTTAAAAACTTGGACCCGCTACCTGTTACGGTCTAACCCAGGGGTCGCGACCCCAAATTGGGTCGGAGTGATAAGTAGGTAGGGTCGCAAACAGGTCATGGGGTCGGTGGGGTCGCTGAGGCATGTCAGAGGATGGATGTACAAAACATCTAAGATTTGACAAACCATGTTAAATTTAGCAGTTTGTATCATGGCTTACTGTAAAACAATCCCAGAGTCATCGCTCTATTCCATGCTATAGAAAATGTAGGTGCTTATTGTGACATCACTGTGGGGTTTTAGCTTATTTTACTTAATACCACTACATGACCAAACTCCAAAGTCCAGTGATAGAAGCTCTAAAGTTTCATGAAAAATATATATATATTGACCTGGGGTCGCACTGGACACTTGAAAGTTGTTATTGGGGTCGTCCTGAAAAAAGCTTGGGAACCCCTGGTCTAACCCTTGGGTGGACAACCTTTTTAGGCTCGCGTGCCAAAATCGGTTAAAGTTAACGACGAAATTCTTCCGTGTGCCGACAAAAATTAAAACAATTCTTTGCTACTTCAACGCGAAAATACACAAGAATAAACCTTTTAGACATGTACAGACAGATTCACTATTCGGAAAAATATCAGTCCGACAAATAGATTTGGTTACTTTTTTTATTCTATATCAGTGAGACTTCTGCTGCTGCATTACCGCTGATAGAGATTTTACATTGGGTTTATATTTTGTAACTTTCAAAGAAATACACGAACTACTGGTTTCATCCTTCAGGCTAATACTATTGCGAGACTTAATAAAGTTCATAACTGAGAACAGAGATTCACTAGCATATGTAGATGAAAACATGGAGAGTAATGCAGTTGTCCAGTTTTTAAGACACGGAAAATTTTGGGAGGTCGCATCCAAATCACGCGTTAAATTGTTTTCTGCACTTCTCTCTTGTATTCCCTTCCCCAATAGCTTATATTTCTTTCGAAATCAATTTATAACAGTGAGTTAGTTATCAAGTAACTCCAACCAACATAACTCAGCAACTTCATAAATCAAGCAGAAATGAACAAAAAGGGTGGCACAGACGAACTACGAGCTTACGTAAGAATGTAGCCAAATGAATGCTTCGCTCATCTCGACAAAATTGCTCTATGTTCACTCATTACTTATCGATTTTAATTGGTAAGTATGTTGACAGGTATTTGTCTGTCTGTTTGTTTGTCTCTCTGTCTGTCAGATGCACGCGATATATTACGAAAGCGAGATTGAATCTGCTCCAGATTTTGCATGTGCATTCATCATATGTCGTACCAGAAGCCTATCGATTTTGGATGAATTATGTCGTATAATTAGCGAGTTATTAATTAATTAGTGATGGGACACAAGGTGTCACTATGGAGTAAGAGCGCTGTTTTGGGGGATCCCCTAACTTTCGATCGGTAAGTCTTCGGTTCTCTGACCAATATTCTCGTTTGTCACATCATAATATATTTCTTTGTAGCCATATGAGAAGACAAAAATAGTTTAAATAACGGATCATTAACAAACGATAATGAATAGACGAACACCGAATTTAAACAGATACTTAAGAGTATTGAAACTTTCTGAAGCCTCGCTCGCGTGCTGTATAAATGGGCTCGCGTGCCAAGTTCGGCACGCGTGCCAGGGGTTGCCCACCCCTGGACTAACCCAATGGTATTCAAAAGATAAGGCGCAGTGAGACAACGTTTTGAAGTATGAGTCAAGCTGATTACAAATAAAATTTTTGTTAGATTTGATCTTGCCTTCCTTATTTTGGATATTTACATTTTAAAACTTCATTCAAATCATTATTTACGTTCCATCCACGTATTTTCAACGTGTTTTTTGAATAAAACCTACTCTCGCTTCACTATCTATTATTTGTAGCTTATTGTTAGCTAGTTATTTTTGATGTGGGGTGCGAAACTCTAAAAAGGGTGCGCGGCTTAAAAGTTTGAGAACCACTGGTCTAACTTGAGAATTTCGGATCCCCCTCCTCTGAAAATTCCCCCACCCCCTGTTCTCAAATGTTAAAAGTGATGAGTCAACTTAACTTTTTTGACTTTCTGTGGAAGATTTTGACTTCTTTTATCGCTATGGAAAGAAAGATTGAAAAGGCTTGACGGTGTGGCGCATCGTGCTAAGCGCTCGCCACCGCATCTCTTACTACCCTGCGTAGGTTCGAATCTTATGCGGGGATGATTACGTGCGAACAGATTGCTGGACTCCTCGCCGCCATAGCGGGGTTCTGGTAACCGCTGGTCGATTATGTCACCTTTACTATCAAGTTCATGCTTCTGAAACAAATAACTAACTAATCCCATACCCGACATGGACTGGTATACGGAAGAGAGGCCGTGGTTCGCCATATAATTAAGCCCCGTGCTATCCTAAAATAATACTCCGGCCAATTAAAAAATTTGAATTCGACTCTGGCAAGTTTAAAAACCCATTTCTATATTTGACATTAAATAACTAACCAACTACACGTATTGATACACTTTCTACCCTGAGTAGTCTATTGATTCGAGTTCTAATCGTCGTCAATGCCCTCGGGGCATATAAAATATCGCGACGGATATACTAGATTATAAGGGTTTTGTCTAGCTGGCAAAAATCAATTTGCAATGAGTCCAAAATTGTTATTAAGAGGTGGAAAACATTTTAACATCCGAATACAACTCTATTGGATTTTTTGTTTAAACATTGTTTTTGGAATTAAGGAAGCGATGCTCAAATATATGGACACGAACGCAAAAACTAGGCAGTAGTTTAACTTACAGTAGCATTACCGTCAAAAATTTTTGACGTGTAGCGATGAAAAAGGTTGAAGAATCGCTACAAATAGTTGTATTAATTTTCAGGAGGCTATTACCTGAAATTTCGAAGTGAAAACGAATGTTGTTTTTTTCTGTTGGTATTTTTCTTCTTGTCGTTATAAAAAAAATCTCTTTCCTTTATATCTACTGGTTCAAATGCTTTGAAATTTGCAGTGGTTGAAGATTGCAGTAGTCACTGGAAGGTTGCTTGTCTTTATTTATTTCGAAAATTTTTGTGGGCTCTGAGGGATTTTCACAATTATGACTATACGCGCCCAAGTCATCGCAATCGTTAATTATAGTTGGCAAAGCGTTGGCTGGGTAAAGCGCTGGACATGCGCCGATATCTTAATCCGACGTTGCTAGGATTTACGCACTATCAAATGCACCGGAATAAATATATAAATCTTATCCTGCGTGCGGACTCACGACTTCGCAGTCCGTTTACATGATAGAATTGTTTCTTTTCATATATGTCTATTTTTAAATAGTTCACATTTATTTCGAAGCAGAGATGAAAAAAACTAAAAATTGCATTGTTTTCCGTGACGTAATTGCATGTAAATAAAACATATTATACGTTTGATAATTTGTATATAACGTAACAAATACTCATTATGATCGTATAATAATATAATATCACACAAAAATGAACAAAAACACATATGTGTATTCGACTGAAAATGTTACAGCTACTGCATACTGAATAAACATTACAAAATATGAACACATATTCTGGGACACAAAAAGGGGTACTCATGTAGTATGTGAACCAAAATGACGGACATCAGAACGTAGTATGTGTACCAAGTTGGGCCATAATTTCAGGAACAAATACTACGGGAGTTACTTGGCTAGTCCCTAAACTCGTAATAGAACTAAAATAAGGGAAATTGGAATAAAGTTATGGCCTAACCCTAACCTGATACACATACTACGTTGCGGTGTCCGCCATCTTGGTGCACATACTACGAAAGCCCCTTTTTAAGAGCATATGGGAACACTTTACATGACGTTCGTCCGTCGTGTTCGTATATTCCAGAATTGCAAATTGGATCAAGGATGCTTTACTTGCATAAATAACCTCGAATCTCGAAACAAATTATTGAGTTTTGATGTTTTTTAAGGAACCACTATACATCGAGCGATTACATTTCAATGATTCCCAAAGTTGATTGACCGGGGGCAAAATTAGAGGCGGAAGAATATTCGCGGGCCAGTTCCGGCAAGAGGCCAATGACGGTACCGGTACGTATAATAAGATACCGGTATCATTGAATTATTAGGATGCACGTGCTTTTGACTATTAAAATGACGTAACAATTGGCGGTATCTAGAACGCAAACAGAAAAAAAAGCTGAACTATTTCACTCAAGTTCAGCGGGCCATATTAAATCGTTACGAGGGCCGTAATTGGCCCGCGGGCCACTGTTTTAAAGCAACTATTCATTGCTATTTTCATCGAAAAACAATCGAGTATTCTGTTTTATTCTAATCCACGGAGACATTTACCATCGCCAATGATGACATTTTGTATCAACATTTTATATTTTCTTCTTCATTTTGTCTGGGATGCAGCAAAATCCCGTTTTGTTGTTTTATTTTATTCGTGGGGATATATATGACATTCGACTTTCGTGTCGATATATTTGAGCACGGGTGTACAACCTTTGATACAGAAGGGGCCAGATACAAATAACTGGGTAAAACCACAGACTGCTTCTTTATTTAACATAGGCTTTCTAGTGTAGGGGTGCGCGACCTTTAAACAACTGGGTAAAACCACGCCCCCTTTTTTGACAAAGTCTTTCTATTAAGTGCTCACACAAAAATTTGGCGCTCCTGTAGTATGTGCACCAAAATGGCGGACACCGGAACGTAGTATGTGTACAAGGTTAGGGTTAGGACATCGTTTTATTCTAATTTTTTTTATTTTAGTTCTATTACGAGTTCGGGGACTAGCCAAGTGACTCTCGTAGTATTTGTACCTGAAATGATAGCCTAACCCTAACCTGGTACACATACTACGTTCCGGTGTCCGCCATCTTGATTCACATACCACATGAGTACCAGAAAATTCTTGTTCGTGATCTTATGGCATGCGTTGTTCGCTTCTCAAAAGATAGCTGTTAGGGCATTGTAACGTCATAGGTATAGATGATGAATGGAGGCTTTGCAGCGCACGTACCAGATTGGCACTTCTCCGCGGGCCGCTCAATTTTCCCTAGTGGGCCGTATTTGGCCCGCGGGCCTCAGGTTGCACACCCGTCCTTTGGGTCAGAGCTAGAGTTGCTCCAAATACTGCACAGCAAACTTAATATTGCATAATGAAGCCCTCAAGTTTATCAGTTGTAGTGCTTGAAGTACCACGGCATTGAACGATGACATATTTCGTTCTCAGTAGCGTTATACATCATGAAGTCAACGTATTGTTTGATTGGTTGTCCGACGTCTATGGTTATATTCGTGAAAATCGTTTCCCGTTTGGTTGACACGCGTTTGTATCTGTAAAGTAGGGTCATAAATGAGGTCGGAAGTGTTTCGTTTAATGGCTTTTAAAAAATGGTTTAAAAAGGTAAAAACGGGCAAATAAGAACGTGCTTAGATTAGACCACTAAGAAAAAGAGGGGACCACATAAATTTCAATAGAGCGAAGCCACCCCAAATTATGTTGAGGGGGGGTAATGACGTAATACTATGCTTACTCGTGTATTTGTGCATTTTGATCTGAACAAGGCTAGATAAAAGTAGGCCCTGATATCTAACAATATCTTAAAGCAGAGGTTTTAAACTCGCGGCCCGCGGGCCAATTGCGACCCGCAGGACGATAGTTTGTGGCCCCTACCTTTGTATTAAAGTTTAATATTAGTGTGGCCAGCAGGTCACTTAGCTCAGTTCGCATGATTAATACATTTAATATAAGTGTTCGAATTTTGATGTCACATTCACTAACGCTTAGATTTAGATTGATACATTGTAACCATGTTTACGCCACAGGGAATATTCACGGGGCTCCTGTAGTATGCGAACCAAGATCGCGGACACCGGAATATAGTATGTGTACCAGGTTAGGACATCATTTTATTCCAATTTTACTTAGTTTAGTTCTATTACGAGTTCGGGGATTAGCCAAGTGACTCCCGTAGTATTTGTACCTGGAATTATGGCCTAACCCTAACCTGGTACACATACTACATTCCGATGTCCGCCATATTGGTTCACATACTACGGGGGTACCATATTCACAGTGCCTTTGCTTTGCATTTAGGATTTTGGAATATGCTTTGTGCACAATACGCGAATAAGACTTGTTAAATAAGGAATTAGTCTCACCTTAGGGTGTTTAATCCCTCGTACTTCATCCGCGAGATGGCGTGCGCCATCAATGCAAAATGCCCTTTATTTTCTGCATTCGATTTTTCAGTTTGATGGAGAATCATATGATATGAACAATTCCTTCCGTGGGGATTATGGAGGCGGTAGCCTGAATTGTTGAATGTACTTTATTGAAAAATAATTCATAAAATTTCAATTTAAAGAGTTGGTACAAATAATAAAATGGCGCTCTCGTAGTATGTGCACCAAGATGGCGCACAACCTGAACTCTAACCGGGTGCACATACTATGTTCAGTAAGAAAAGCAAAAGCAATAAAAAAAAGATGAATGCAATGAAATGAAAAATTAAAAAAACCCGACGATGGTCGATGGCCTAACCTTAACCTGGTACACATACTATGTATGTTCCGGTGTCTGCCATCTTGGTTTACATACTACGACAGCGCCCACTTTAAACATGTTTGTTAACATCGGTGCGTTTTCATAGTTTGGGTTTTTGTGGGGTGAATGGTTGGATCAGCTTTCGGCAACTCCAAACAAGGAAATAGGAATACAGGGAGTCCTCGACTTACGACGTAGTTCCGTTCCTGAGACTCGGTGTAACCCGAATTTCAGTGTAAGTCGGAACATTATGCTGTACAGTGGTACAGTGCATGAATTACTCTATACACATCGTACTGTATCGTAAAGTATGGTACTGTACACTATGACTAATAAAATGTACAAATAATGCAAATAAGAACTTTATTAGAAAAATAGAAAACAATTCCACATCACGCGAATAAAAGCAAACAATATACAGTATCTCAACATCTTTTTTTTTTGCCTTGAGTCCATAACAAAGGGCAAAAGTAAAAAAAAAAACGATCAAACAAGTTACGAAAAAACCAAAATGACGAACAGTATCACTGAAACTGTGTACAGTACTGTATCACTGGAACTGTGTACTGTACTGTACCATGTGACTGAAGCTTAGTGATTATTCGTTCATAATCGTAATAGTTCGCAATTGGTCACGTCATTTACGATGTAAATAACGAAAACCAATGAGCCCAGAGCACTGATTTTCTTGATCACGATGATCCAGTTTATAGGCTTAGATATTACAGTACAGTATTATCTTTTATATCTGTATATGTTCGTAAAGTGCGTTCGTAACCTCGAAACAGCGTTATGGAGTGCGCGTTTGTAACCTCGAAACATCGTAAGTCGCGACCGTCGTAACCCGAGGACTCCCTGTACTCCCAAAGCATGTGAACTAAGATGGTCGACACCGGAACGTAGTATGTGTACCAGGTTAGGGTTAGGCCATAATTTCATTCCAATTTTAGTTATATTACAAGTTCGGGGACTAGTCGAGTAACTTCCGCAGTATTTGTACCTTAAATTATGGCCTAACTCTAACCTGGTACACATACTACGTTCCGTGTCCGCCATCTTGGTTCACATACTTCGGGAGTACCGAAATAGGTGCATCCTTTCAGCTGTATTATCTGGTTTCAACTCCTACGGGATAAACATAAAACCAGTCCTAAGTGAAGCAAACCTCACCCTTATTCCATAAGCGTATGAACAAGTCATCATCTTCACCGCCCCAACCCCAGTAAATGTTCGAAAACCCGTTAGTGGACATGAATTGTGATGTTGTAACCATGGCAACTCCTCCAAAGTAGTGAACATTTTCGCTCCTTGGGACTGAAACAGATATTGAAAAAACAAGAGATGAATGATTGGGTCGAGTGTTGGCATCAATTTTATTAGATATGTCATTACTAATCCTCATTTGACTTACGTCACAGTGGCGTAACAAGGGCCCTCAAACCATACGGATAACCGTCCAAAACGCGCAGAAGATCATCCGAAATCGAGCAGGCTATTTCTCTCGTTTTCTCGTCGTAACAATCCCGATATGAGAGAGAAGCTCTATGACGTGATTGTGATGCCGTAGTGGCGCGATTTTGGACGACGTATTCAGGTGGGAGTTAGGAATAACATACGCAAAATTGGCTATGACACGCCAACTAAAGATGCTTGTGGTACTAAACTGAACTGGACCCTGATAATTATGTTTTCGACGCGCAAAAGTAACTGCGGATGATAAAACGCCTAACAATCCCGATATGAGAGAGAAGCTCTCTTAGGGAAGCTCTATGACGTAATAGTGATGCCGTAGTGACGCGATTTTGGACGACGTATTCAGGTGGGAGTTAGGAATAACATACGCAAAACTGGTTATGACACGCCAACTAAAGATGCTTGTGGTACTAAACTAAACTGGACCCTGATAATTATGTTTTCGACGCGCAAAGGTAACTGCGGATGATAAAACGCCTCATGTAAAAATAATTTGTAGAAATTAATTTTATTTACAGACAAATATTAGGTGACCCCGGGTTGCAATAAATCATGACTGCAGTTTCGAATTCCAAGGAAATTTTGATGAAAACAAAATGCAAGCATTTCTTCAAACCGTTAAACGTTGACCGGTAAGGACGCTCAAATCAACCTAATGCTTTAGAGTAGGGAATGAGCAACCGTCAATACCGGAGGATTATTTACAAATAACTGGACAAAACGAAAAGGCATTCAAAACATGACGAAATCCCACCCCGGCTCCACATCTCTGAATGAAACTCCGTATTAAATTTTTTGCATGATTGTCTAAGAGAGCGAAAGAGGCGCCGCGACGCACGCATTGCCTTAATTCCTTAGCCCTAAATATTTTCAAATTTTAAAAGGCATTTTTTTCCTGTGAATATTGTCGCGAGTTTTTTCTTTGATAATTTGGCGCCGCACGAAAAAAAAGTTTAGGAAACGCTGGCGTATATTAACGAGGACTCGCTAAAAACGACTACGGTTTTTGACTCTGGGGCCCATAAAACTTCAAAACTCAAACCTTCAGAGCAGTTGTTCCAAAACTCTTTAAGCCGCGCCTCCTGTTCAGAATTTGTCAAGTATCTCGCGCTCCACTTCAAAAATAACTAGCTAACAATAAGCTACAAAAAATAGATAGTAAGGAAAGAATGTTTTATTCAAAAAACATGTTGAAAATAAGTGGATGGAACTTTAATATCCAAATAAGGCGGGCAAGATCAAATCTCACAAAATTTTTATATTTAATCAGCTTCACGCCTCCCCAAAAAATTGTTTACGCCCAATTTGTGGGCGCGCCCCACCATTTGAAAATCACTGCTATGGAGATTTTGACAAAGTTTGGGAAACCCTGATTTAAAAGAAAGTAAATTTTCTACTCACAAGTACTTGGTATACACTTCGGTTGGTAGGTTTTATAACGATGGAAAAATTTGTCAACGTAAATGGACAAACTGCGAGGATTGTCAACACTTGGGCACCAGTACAGACATTCATCGTTCTCCAGAAGCATATCGACATCATGAAAAACATAGCAATCATATTTTCGATCTGTAAAAATAAATGGACCAATTAGAAGCACGGATTTAATAAATTAGCCAATCGTATGTAATCTGCAAAATGAACGGACCAATTAGAAGCACGGATTAAACAAATTGGCCATCACAGTCGCTGTATTTGATGGGTAATAATGAACACTTATATTCACGTCCGTACATGTTGTTCACGTCGTCTGTAGTTTGGCGATGAAACGTTTCCTACATTTTTACCACGATCTACCGAGACAAGGCATAAAGATTGTGACTCACTTACCCTTGTTCGCCTCCAAAAATCCAGCATTCAGTAGTTTAGCCTTGTTGAACAGATGCTCCCCGCTCTGCCACATAATGTATACAGTATAATCCAATTGCTGCCGCTGCCATATTGGGTGCATATGCGCTAAGAGTACTCGGAGCTGATGTATGCGCCCGCGTAAGGGAATGATAATAGCAAGTTTGAATCGTGGACGACAGTGCTTTGGAGCGTATCTCCCACCGATAGACAATTCTGGGTTGTCTATAGAAATTTTTTCTAATGTCGGTGGTGAAAAATCCAAATAATACGGCCTTTTAAGATTGCCTTTTAGTCCGGGAGGTTTTTCTGGACAAAGCGGCAAGTCATACTTTTCCAATTCGTTGGATATATCATCGAAGTATGAAGTAAAATTGTCCAGTGAGAAAACTTTCGTGTCATCGTTTTCAGTTCGATTGAAGAAATCGAAAATAAAATCTTCTTTCGATTTAAAACTGTTTATGAGCGAATAAATATGATCTTGATTCCTCTTAACTGTTTTAAACGTCACAATGAAAAATGACGTTATAATGAAACCTAATAATATTTTCTTCCTTCTGTTTATGAGGTATGAAGCAAGCTTTGTGGATAAAAGCATTTTTAAATAAAATTTAGATTATTAATTTATTTGTTAATTATCTTGAAATTAATAAAAAAGATATAATAGGCGAGCTTCCACCAAAAGTGCATTGAAATAAGAGAGCGATACTCAAATATATCGTCACGAAAGCCAAAATGTAGTTGTACGGGTAGGCATTCTGTCACAGTGGACTACCGGTACCGCATTTATTACGACTTCGCTTGCTATAATACTAAAAATGCGAATCTGTATTTTCATCCCACTTTTTGCCTATGCTTTGTATCTATCCTAAATCAGAGCATATCATCTACCGTGTTTCCCCGAAAATAAGACCTATCCTGAATTTTAAATGTGATTTTAATATAAGCCCTCCTCTTGAAATAAGACCTAGTCGATAGCGCGAAATCTCTTCTACACGTTTTAAATGATTAATCGGTACTCCTGAAGTATGCGCACCAAGAAGTCGCATAACCTGAACCCTAACCTGGTACACAACCTGTGTTCAGGTTGTGCGCCATCTTGGTGCGCATACTTCAGGAGGTCCGATTAATCTAATACGTGTGAGTGAGAAAAAGCTAATTTTGCTATTTTTCAAATAAAAATACCCTGTCATCTTTTCGGGGAACACACGGTATCATCGAATCCTAGTTGTATTATGATCTGCAGACTTGTTTATGTTGTCTTCCATAAAGTGATTATGACACAACAATAACAAGGCTGTCACGTGCAGCGTGAATATACTTGTGATGTTTTCTTCGTATGAGACTGCTGTATTGTTACCGGTAGCTGTGTATTTACATCGTGCTGAATCTTACTGTATAGTCTACTGACTGTTTAATAAAGATCATTCGTCCGGCTGATAAATATTTGGATCAAGGTTATTATGAATGTATAACACAAGCCTAATACTGGCAACAGTAAAACTTAACATCGTGTCAGAAATTGGATGTTGATGAAGGCAATCCTGGATACTCCTAGGACAAGGATTTTACAGCGTCGAGGTAGTTTAGGAATTATCACGCGACTGGAGAAAACAACGAGCTGTACTCAATTACGGTAAGATATTATTTACAGTGCTTTGGAAAGACGAATTATGATACAGAGAGTAACGGAGGGAGCTGACTTCGATGCAGACATGGGAAAAGTGGAATCGAAAATTACGAATTTACATAAAAACACATGGTATAGAGAAACATGCATAATCCTCACAACAATAAATCTTAACAGTTACCTTCGAGCAGTGGTGGGATTCAGCCGGTTCGCACCGGTTCTATAGAACCGTCTCACGGAATTTTATGCGATCAGCAAACCGGTTAGAATTACTGAAAAAAAACATGACTTTTTTGTAACAGAACCGGCTGAAAAATATGACACTTGTGTGATGGAACCGGCTGACAAAAAATTTAAATCCTGCCACTGCCTGCGAGCACTTACCGTCGTACATATTATCGACATTTTGTGTATCGTTATCGTCGTTTTTTGTTGATATCGGTATCGGTGACAAAAGTGGGATCGGTACATCTCTAATTCTGACAACAATAAATCTTGCCGGTCACCTGCAAGCACTTACCGTATTTAACGGAGCTCAAGTATTATAAAGCGAAACGGTTTTAAATCAATACCGGTATTGGTTTTAAGTGTAGGCAATACCTGATCCAAACATTGATCGATTTAAAAAATGCTTATGGCCAAATACCGGTAATTTTAGTTGATCGCGCTAGTACTAACTAAAACACATACAGATTAAACAGAAGCACTCATTCTGCGCAAAAAAACTTCACCTGTAGGCTAAAGTACAACCTAATGTCTAATGCAGTATGGACTAGCTAGTTATGCGTAAGAACCCTCGGGCAACAACACTAACATATGCGTCAGTCTGTTACGTGTACAGCATTTGACGTAGATTTAGAAGGCATATAAAGCTCAGAATAAAGGATACTGGTGTATTGTGTACTGAACTTGTTTACTTTCTACGGATTCGTATGTGTCAGGTCAGTTGTCAGTTGCTTGAACGGCAACATTACTTTCAACAACATTATTACTTTAAACATTATATTTAAATAAACTTGTTGCGGCATTCACAGTAAGGATCTCAATTCTTACGCCTTTTCCAACACCATTTCATTCTATTCTTATACGATTTACTAAACAATGACTTTTCCTGACTTGCTATCAATAATCCTTTCACCAAGTGAATCAACCGAAACAGATGAAAATGCGCGCTTGTATACCTTGGATAGTCTGTTGATTCGTTAAGATATTGTTAGACATCATTGACCCGATATTTCTTCCAAATATTGAGTTTTAATTTAATTCACCAGAAAATTGATTTGGCACGCTTGTCTTTATATCTGAGCATTGCTCTCTTATTGGACACGGAGTGGACCTATGGATTGTTTTGCTATTAGGTTGTTGGTATTTTTCTTCTTGTTGTTATGAAAAAAAATTGTTTATCTCCTAACTAATGGACCAATTGCTTTGAAATTTACAGTGAATAATGATTGTATTTTTCGCAGAATGCTATTACTTTTATTTATTCTCGAATTTTCTATGAACCCTATGAGATCTGATATTTCATAAAATTTCGGTAATATTTTTTGTTACGAAGCCTCGTATGCATGACACCCCGTTTCCCTCACAGCTTTTATCTGCTTGAATACATAAATGGTCTAATATTCATTTCAAAATAATTCACAGTAATTTCATGGCTAGCACAAGATACATTGAAAACTTGAAAATTGCTCAATATCGTCATAAAATGTAGATTTCTTTTATAACCAATATGATATAACATGAGTCGAAAAGAGTGCATATGGAAATGTTATTGCATATGCTCAAAAATACGCATATCAGAAAACAAGAGAGCTACGCCCAAATATATGAACACGTCTGGTCGCAGTACAGTACGGTATGCCGTACCGTCAGATCACAGTCTACAAATATATTCACACCAATCGAAGCAGTACAGTTGGACACAAAATGGCGTCCGATGTCCGCAGAACGTTCAGTGACGTCATAGCAAACAAAAATAATCTCACAGAGCCAACAGAAATATTTGAAATGTCCACTAAACGTGTCCAAAAATACATATATGTTTGGAAAACTTACATTTTGTATGCGATGCTACAAAATACCATTCATCCATCTGAAATGAAAAGCAGGTTAACATACCTGACATAGACTGGTAACCGGACGAGAGCCCGTGGTTCGCATATGATCAGGCTTACTATACGTCCCGCTTTTCAGCGTCCTGTCCCGCCGAGTCGGCCAAAAGTCCCGCTTTAGCGTTCAGCCATCCAGCATAGTACACGAACATGTTCTTGTTACTGTTGTTTTGTGTAGCGCAGCGCTAGCCTATACTTACTGAAGGTGAATGTGTTTGTTTCGTTGTTTCCCGCTAACATTGTTAGAAAACGTATTGCATGTAAAACCAATACAAATTAGTCTAAATTCGAATTATTTGTATCAGTATCGTTAACGTCAATTTCTTTCTATTTTATCGAACTGAACTGGATATTTGGACAGAGAATATGCGCATGAATTCTCGATGACAATATGATCAATGAACACAGCCGGGATAGCTTTGATAACGAAACCAGAGTTTGTTTATCTACCGCATCCATCCTTCCAAATAAATGAGTTCTGGTCTCATTCCCCTGACGCATGGTTCACATCAACCGAAGCAGTCTTCCGTATAGTAGGGACGATGGTGATATCAACAAATGTAATTATGTAGTTCGATGCTTGAATGACCGCCAATTAGAGAATTTTCGCTCACGCCTACCAGGCGGGCATAATCCTAGGTGTTATTCACTCTTGCGGAGACTTCTGATCAATACTTTCTCCGTATCACTCAGAGATCGCATATGCGATATACTCAATGGTCGATTTTATAAACCGTCCGAGATTTTAGTGAAGCTTCGCGGTGCATTTTGTCTAGATAATTTCACAAACTGTAGCCAAAACTTTTTAAAGGAAATGTTCTTCCAGCAATTGCCATCATATATTGCTGTTGCCCTTGCTGGCCATCCGGATGATAACGTAGATGATATGGCCGATGTTAATTCCCCCACATTCGAAACGTTACAATCATCCTTGACCAGGCCGAAAGCTGTATGCCGCCAACGGTACACCTATACCATGGTATGGCCAACGAGCTGTGTTAATTGCATTGGATAACGATATCAAATATGACTGCCATTTCAAATAGCTCGTGTTTCTTAACCGATATTAGGAGCTGATTTTTTGTCACAACATAATCTTGTGGTTGACTTACGCAACTCGCGTCTCTTCGATCTTAATTCAAATACCTATATATATGACAAGAAGTCCTTTGGAAAATCAATAGCAGCCAACTTCATCTCACCGAGATACCAGTGCCACTAAGCCAATTTGTTGAAAGAATTCCGCCCCGCCCCTCTTACGCCAAAAAAGCTTATTGAATCAGAAGACATAGTTCCTTCCAACTCTCCTTATTCGTCTCCGATCACAGTTGTACCAAAAGAGGATAGCAGTGAGGTCCGAATACAGACGATTAATGACATATGGCCAATTCCTCACATGCGCAATTTTACCAATGAATTACACTTGCCACTATTTCAGCAAATGTGACCTTTTGAAAGCATATCATCAAATACCTCTCCATCGATCTGATAGGAAGAAAGCTGCCTTCATCTGCCCTGAAGGATTGTTTGAAGCAGTAACTTTACCATTTGGTCTGTGCAATGCCTGTTCATATTCGTATTCCTCGACGACATATTAATTGCAAACGAAACTAAAGGACAACATCGCCAAGCACCAAGGCAACTTTTCTTACGCCTACGGAAATACGGACAAGTCTTGCATGTTGATAAATGTGAGTTCGGCAAACACGAGCTCGATTTTTTAGGCCATCACGTGACACCGTAGGGTATCTATCCACTATCTTCAAAAGTTGAAGCAATCAACAAGTTTCCTTCACCAAATACTTCGAAAGAACTCCGATCGTTTTTTTCGGTCTAGTATGTTACTACCACCGCTTTGTCAAGAACTGCGCGGCCATATTAAAACCACTGCA